TCGTCACATTGGTGTAATCTGGAAGGTTTCTCAGTGTGGTCAGAACAAGGCTTTAGACTTTCCCAAACCAAAAACCCATGAGTTATACTGGGACAAGGTACACAACAAAATATATATCAAGAAAAGTTTTCAACCAAGTGGTGGAACTATTATCAGCCTATTTAGCTATCTAGCTAAAGCTAATGCCTGTGACAGCCGAAAAAATTGGCAGGCGCAGGCAAAAAATGAGAAGCCTGCTTTTTCTACCTCTGTCAGACTACTATACATTTTAATAGCAAATCTTCCACCATCATTAAATAAACTGTAAAACATGTGCCATGGAGGACTTGAAAGCTTGATTAGGGATGGGTACCTTTCACATTTGAACCGATACAGTACCGACACCCGGTACCTGGGAATCGGAACCGGTACGCAACGGTACCTGTTTTCGGTACTCTTTTTTGCATGTATGTGTGGTAATAAAGGATATTTCATTTAGATTTATTTTTTTTGTCAAAACTAACATTTATTTCTCAATATCAAACAGGATAAAACAACATCTAACACTGTTTGTGACATAATATCAAAAGGTAGTCTATGTAATTGACTATGAAGCAGTTCTTTTTATTGCACAAAATAAACCCACTCCTACTACCTCCTATTCCTCCTCTTTCCCCTCTGGGAAAAATGTGTGTGGGGGGATGTAAAGTTAAAGTTAGAGAATACAAGGAACCGAGCTGATAATGATAACTAAGGCAAGTTAAAATGCAAAGCTAATGTTAGAATGACCAGAACAAAGCCCAATCATCTTAAACACTAAGCTTATTAATTACCTGGAACCGATGTAGCTGATGCCCCGCTTAATCACCTTCGTTATCATTGAATTTTAATCCCACTTCTTCTGCCCCGATTCTGGCTGCAGATGACAACGAGCTGCTAGCTGTATGTGTGCTAACGCCGGGAGAAGTAGCCTTAACTTTCAGGCTATCAAATACTGTGCAGTCGTCAGCCTTTAAAAACACCTTGTGCTTGACCAGGTGCTTCCTCAGGTTTGAGTTATTTCTGTAGCTGGCCTTGCTTTGCAAATATTGCAGCGAGCTTAGTCTGCATCATACTTTGAGATATGGAGCCACACCTTTGACCTCTTTCTCTCAGCCATGCTGCTTTGTTGATAGCTGCCACTGATGTGATCACGCTCTCGTGCGTACAATGCTGCATTCATGATAGGCAGTGAAAACTTCACTCCTCCACTCTCGAAGTCCCTAGGATGCGTTCAGGTACCGAAATGCAGTACCGTTTGATTTTACGTGAATCGATACTCGGGATTACTGGCCGAATTCGGTCGGTACCAATAAACGTACCGAACTCGGTACCCATCCCTAAGCATGATAGGTGTTGCACGGTAACCCAAAGAGGTTGGGCTTACCAAATGGTATCAGTTATAAAATATACATTATAGAAAGGTGAACACCCAAGATTAGTTTCATTATTTCAGTATCTGACCAAATGTCTCTCTTTCTGTTCCTGAGATATGTTGAATAATGGCCATAAAAAGTGTTTTTGCAGAACATTATGATGTCACAGTGAAGCTGACATTTGACTCTTTCGATACCAAATGACATCACTTTATTATTTTTATCCTGTTAGGCATTTGTCTGAAATATTGTAATAACTGGCACATGAATTCTATTTATGGCCAAAAACACATTTTGTGAGGTCAAGGTGACTTTGACCTTTGACCACCAAATTCTAAGCAGCTCATCCTTGACTCAAATTGGATGTTTGTGCCAAATTTGAGGACTTTGCCTCAAGGTGATCTTAAGGTATCGCATTCACAAGAATGAGACAGTTGCAAGATCACAGTGACCTTGACCTTTGACCACTAAAATCTAGTCATATCATCCTTGAATGTGAATGGATGTTTGTGCCAAAAAAAGGCATTCTTGAGATATTGTGTTCATGAGTATTACACTGATGATGTCACAACAACCTTGACCTTTGACCACCAAAATCTAATGATGGACGGACAAACAGATGTTTGTAAGTACAGAGGGACAGACAACCCAAAAATACAGTGCTTCCAGCCACAGCTATTGCTGGCATGGAGGCATAAAAAAACACAATGGTACATCCTGTACCATGTGTAGTCCTACTGCATTGAGACACTATAGGTTCAAAGTCTTGAAAACATCTGATGAAAACTTTTTACTGTCCCTTGCTCTTAATTAGAAAGCTTAAAGCTGTTGTGTCATCAGTTTAGTTTCCCTCAGTGCCACATTTAGGTCATCTGTTGCTGCTGACGCTGTCCATCAGTCAAGGCCAGACGTGGCTAACGGCTAGCTAAGTGGTGCTCATCGAGGTGGGGTCCTGCAATAATAGTTTCATGCAATGGGAAGTCATTCATCAGCACTGTTCTCAAACAGCAGAGACGGAGAGGGAGCAGAGGGGGAAAAGGGGTTGATGAGGGACAGTGAAGCAGGAACCTTAGTCACTCAAACAGAAGGTTAGAGGAAGAGATGGATGGAGAGATGAGGTGACAGAGATCAGATCTCATCCATGTTTACTGGTAAAATAACGTTTCATTTAGCCGTGGTTCACAGTTTCCAGCTGTCTGACATCAACAAACACAAACAGATATATTGTATTCTATATTTGGCAACACACTGGATCTTGCATTTCACATATTCACACTGAGCAATGCATATACAGTATGTGTGTTCATTGGTCTGTATAGTTAAGCTTTGCCATAATAGCTTATCATAGGGCTTAGGAGGATATTCACTGAGTGCTGATCCTTTATCTAGAGCACCAATTTCTTGTGTTTATTTGAAACGTTTACACAGGAAATTTACTGTTTACATGCAGTCTCTTCCAAAATAGACGCACTACGTCGATACTACACAGCAATTGACGTTTTTTTTCCTGCAACAACTAACTAGTTTAGGAAAAAAGAACAGGGTTTGACATTATAATCTTAGGGGATGCGAACATTGCTCTCCCAGCTGAACGTCGGTGGTTGTTCGACCCATCTACCACACTTCCCGCCCACACTACTCACTACTTTCGCCGTCTTAACTTTCGTTCTTGTCCGTTTCCCCCTGACGCCGCCGAGCACTGTTAAACTACAATGGTGACCAGCCGTGTATCATTCCAGCGTTAAAGGATGGCTTTTTTCGTCTGTGTCTGAAGCCGCAAGTCACTGCCCAAGTGCTGGATTCAGTGACTTTGGAGTGAGACCGAGTTGTGTTGTACATCAGTGTCACCTCTTCAGAGAATTCATAGTGTCCTTGTTTTAAGGTGGTTTCCAGGTTTTACCAGTAGATCACATATGGATCATACTGGGCAGCTTCCAGCACGTGAATCTGCTTAACTGTTTGACTTAAAACATTTATAAAAAAATGTATTATTCACATACTTAAGATTGAAATCCATGAGCACTACTGCAGGACAGCAATTAGTCACTTGCATGCAGCGTAGCTTTGTTAGAGTTAAAGTATTGTTCCACAATGCCATTGTAACTATAACCATTTTAAAAACATTTAAAATCAATATTTCCAGTAAGCACAAGACAAAAAAATGAAAGATATGCTTCTCCCTTGAAGGTATGATAGAGATTTAACAATGACTTCAGTCTCACTGTGCCTCTTCTTCAAGCTGTCAATCATAGAATAAGCATTTTCATATCATGGATATCTCAATTTGGAATAAAATTATTTGACTGTAGTCCCTGGAGCTTGCTTTGAGCTGTAACATTATGTGAGACAAACTGTGAGTATTTCCTGTATCAAGGCTATGATAATTCATTTAATCTATTTTCCCTACCTGTTACTCATGCATTGTGTTGGTTTTGTACCATTACCTTGTGCACTCAGTCGCTGAATCACTTTTTCCTCTGCTACCCAGTTAACCTTGGCCTCTGTTTGCCATCTTGATTTTACCTTATTTAAGTGAGACATTTTTCTCACCACCTAGGGCTTTTTACATCTTGCCCACACTGATTTAATCTGTCTTTGTTATTTTTGTATCCGTGCTAAGCGACATGTTAATCCTTTGCACTCGGGTCAAGTACTGATCACCCTTGACATTAACAACAGAAAAAAAAAACTTGGTGTATTTACTGTGCTGTTGTTGGTTTTACCCTCCTGACACAAAAACTAAAACTCACACAAATTCAGACACACACACTAACCATCCACACAAGGGCAGAGCAATTACCCAGTAAATGGCAAATTTAGCATGACACACGGGTCAGTGCTTTCCACTGCTGCTTGTCAGCCCACTTTGTGTAAGCAATGAAAGAAACATAATGAGTAGTTTAACACATTATGCTTGGCAGGGAGTACTAAGTAAAGTAACTTTTGAAAAGAGTATGAAGTAATGAGTAATTTATTAATTTTTTTTAGCTAACAAACCCAGTTGTCAGTGAACATTTTTGCTGATTTGTTTAGTATCAACATTTTTGTGATTTGCCAGGCAGGCTAATTAGCAACATTTCCTCACCATGTTGACAGAAAATTTGCTCGGCATTACGTTTCCCTGTAAATTTTAGCACATCAATATATTTTCTAGGCAACAGGGCTGCTAAACACACACATTTCAGGGATAGAGGTTGTAGTTCAAAGGTCAAATCAAAAGCCAATCAGTCAAGAGACAGCAAGAAAAGGTTTTTATGATTATCTGTCGATGCAGTAACATCACAGAAAGCTTACATTAAAATTAAAACCTGAATCGAGCTAGAAGAGCCATCCAAGCTTACGCCTTCTTAACTCAAATCTGCAGATGATACACAAATCATAAATATTTAATTTGTTCTTTGTGGCAGAAACTGTCACTGTGAAAACAACGAAGATTCCTCCTTGCCAAAATATAGGGCATTAACAGTTTTATGGCCGTGACACAGAACAACCACAGACCTCCTCATACATTTTATGCACCCGCAAATACAAAAGGAATAAGCTAATCAGCTGCTGACAGAGGAAGCTCTTGGAGAAAAAAAAAGGAGTAGTGAGATTCAGTCTTACCTCTCTGCTGTGGAGGAGGCCCTTCTCTGACAAATTACCGCCAACGAACTGCTTCCAGGTGCCATTTCCTGTTTGATCTCCCACGCGACGAGGTTGCTGGGTTTCACAGCTAGGAAGTTAATGCCTGACTGGAACCACACCCTGCAGCGAGGGATGAAGAAAGAAGAAGCGACAGAGAGAGAGAAGAGAAGGAGTGAGGTTAATCCAAAGTTCACACAAGCACATCATAAACAAAAGAGAAGAGAAAGCTGAGCTGTCACACTGACAGTTAGGGGGGGAATTTGCTTAAAATTGAATTTGGTGCGCTTGGAAATTCCCTGCCCCGATTTTCTCACTGATTTTCTTTAATCCCTGATACGTGCCGTACTCTTTGTATAAAATGTCTTTTAAAATTGATTCACGCAGCGTGGTGCTGCCTCCCACAGTATGTTTTGGTGGGTGAAGACAAAGGAGTGACACGAGATTCTCTTAGGAAAGTTAACATTTTTACCAGAGTAAGTGCTACATGGAGGATGGAGCAGATGTGAGCGGTGCTGGATACTATCAAACACACAAAATGTGTCTTTGCTGATGAGAGGCAGATGTGAACAGCCATTTGTTTGTGATATCATTTGTTTGTTCTGCTGAGTTTTTCCTCTTCAACTATTTATTTTCCTCACCTTAACTCAATCTTTCCTTCCACAATATTTTGCACAAATAACCTCCTACCTGGCCCTCACATTTTCCCACCCCTCATCCTCGCTCCTCTCCAGTTTCCCTTTCCTCTCCCTCCAGTTAGATTAAGGCCATTCATCTCTGCCTCTTCTTTTTTCATCCAGGTTTTCCTTTAATCTGGATGATTTCCTCCTCCATTTCTCTTGGCTGCAACTCTCCCGACTTCCATGTTTGTTTCGGTTTTCTATTAGATTTCATACCCCTTCTTTTCCTTCCCACCTTCCCTATCCTTCCCTTCCAGATGTCCACCTTGTTTTTATTTCTCCTTCCTCGCCATTCCCTCGTTGCCTTCTCTCCTTTATTTCCTCCTCTTTCATCTCTTTTCCTCACCTCCTCCGAAAGCCTCCCTTCTGCCTTTCATCCATCCCTCTGTGATTCCCTTCCTGTTCCTTCCTCCCTCTCTTCCTTCCCTATATACCTTACTCCATCCCTCCCCCTGCCCCTCCTCCACCCTTCGATCTCAAGGCATTCTATGGTTAATCTCTTTATTTTCTTTCTCTCCCTCTTCCCCTTTCTCCCTCTCTCTAATCCGTCCCGGTGTGTTTTGTTCTATTTATCACCTTGACGAGACCCTCCCTCAGTTTATTAGCACACTTCATGCGCACATACACACAAGCTTGTTTACTGCTTTTCTTATTAACACACATACAGTAGTCTCTGGCAAACGCCAAATAGCAACACAGACGCACTCTCTAATAAACTTTTTCCTCTACACAGAAGGGGGGAAAAAAACTGCCAATCCTCTTTGTCTCTTTTCTCATTATTACTTTCTTGTGTTTGTCTCGCTTCATGTCTTGCCAGAATCTGCCAGCAAATATGCCATGCCCATCCCCCGAGCTGCTCTCCGTGCATATGTTTGTGAGTGTACCGTATATATGCACCTGTGTGTGTGCTGTATAGCAATCTAAACAAGATGCCTTTTGGTGTTTGGTGCAAAGGGAACTACCCTCCTGTGAAAACTTGAAACCCACTTTTTTCTGTTTCACTCTCAACTATTTTTTCTTGGTTTATTTTAAAGGAGGAGAAAATGCTCCCTTGTTGACCATTGTTGTGTGTTGTTTATGTGCTATGCTTAGGAAAAATGACTGAAAAAGAAGTGCAGAGTTGCATAAAAGTACCCTTTTTGCAAGTAAGGCAGAGCACACATAGAGTCTAGTGTGTTCCCAAGTAAAATAATGTGCGTTTATGTGTGCAGCAACACAGCGCAAAATAACGGGCGGGCCCCCTCTTTTATAATTTAACAGCTGAATGTTACATAAAATTATATAAAAAAAAAACCTGCCATTGTTCTGTTTCTTTCTCCCCATCCCTCTTTCTTTCTGTCTCGTCTATCTCCCCACCTCACCCTCTTCTCCCTCTCTTTCCAGTCGCTCTGTCCTCCTCCTCAACCAACCCAGAATTTAAGATAATCCACTTCAAAGGAAATTCACTTCACCACACTTTGGCAACAAAAGTATGTAAAGCAAAGCGAGTTAGGAGAAGAAAAATAAAAAACAGGAGATATAATGTGAATGACAGACTGACAGGATGGAGAACAGAAACGTATGCCTGAACACTGGCTGAGAAAAATTCACCCAAGAACTTTTTTTTTTTTTTTTTTAAAGATGACAAGGTTGTGGCAAAGACGAATCATAAATAAAACATACTGTAAATAAATAAATAAATAAATAATAAAACTCCAGCACTCATCTGTCCAAACGTCTCTCCTGAGACATCAAAAGTCTCATTCATGTTAATGATGACATCAAATAATGCACTTCCTAAAGCACTTTGGACCCTCATGGAAAATACATTCCTACACTACAACCAAACCAGACCCCAAACTGTGACACAGGTGTAACCCCTATTCACCCAAAAGCCACTGCTATAACAAAAAGTTGAGGCCTGTCAGCAGACACAAGACTGACTGCCAATGATTACAATGGATATATTATCTGATGGGTTACAACCAAACTGTGCAACAATTATTTATGTGAAAACAGGCAGACAATATATGTTTCATGCACAATGTAGAGTCTTGAGTCCCGCAGGAGCACTGGGGATCCCGGCTGACATTCCTGTCTGAAAGAGGGTGTAGCTGGCTGAGTTTTAAAGCTACAGTGATGAAACTCGTATCATATAAAAATGGAAGATCCAAGGAATCCAGAGGTACCAACCACACCTTCTTATAAATGTGTCTAAATAATGCTCCTAAGCTGAACATTAAGCCCTTTTTAAATAGGAATTGCATTGGCAGTATAAAGACAAAATTGGGGGGTGCAGCAAAATGCCACCTACCTACTTTTGTTTATACAGAATGCGCCTTTTTCAGGGCAATGGGGGGCGTGAGCAAGTAACAAAACGTGTAGCTCAGCGTGTGACGTAAACAGTGATGTACCGCAGCTCATCAGTCCTTTGGCGATTCTCTCATAAGTTGGCCCTTCCTTCACCGTTCCTGTTATCTGACGGGTTAATGGCCTCTTTGTTTGCGAGGACAAGGAGGGCGCGTAATTCCTTGTCTCCCCAGTTGCTCATTTTTACAGTGTCTGTCAGGTTTGTGTTTCCCTCTTGCTACTAGTACTAGCTGCTCATTCCCGTTATCAGCTGTTTCCTGTTTATCCACCACTAGTGGGTCGCACGTGCAGCGTCATCAACAGCTCCTCCCACAAGTCATCAACAGCCCCTCCTGTGGCGGAAGGGCGCCTCGTTCTTTGTAAACCAAAAAGGTTCCGCAAATATGTCTACCCTTCAAGGCGGAAAATTGGGCACCTTGGATCAACTCGCCAGTCTGGCTCTGTGTGTCTAAACACTCGCAGCTTGCTGGCAAAACGGCCCAACATTCGTCGAAAATCTGGCAGTGTAAAAGGGGCTTTAGTGAGGGGAAAACAGGTGTGGCCATTTTCACAGGGTACCTTAACCTCTCACCTCAAGATATCTGAATGAAAATGGGTTCTACGGTACCCATGAGTCTCCCCTTTACATACATGCCCACTCTATGCTGGACCCATGCAGTTTTGGGCAAAAAAAAACCTTGCAGCTTTCTGCATGCAGTATAAATGTGTTATTTTAGCCCATCGTATTTAAATACTTCGGCAACCTGGGGTCCTTAAACAGTATGGAAATAGCATTAACTGGGTAAGGCTGGAAAGCTGAGAATCTTGTGAATTAAATGAGCCCGATTTTATCAATTTGTGATACTGTTAGTTCCCATATAACGTAAAACTTAAAATAATAGCCAGGGCTATTATTTGCTTAAATCACTGAACTCAACAGGCCAATATCACGGACGGGTGTCTATATAGGACAGGCCTTTAATTCCTTCACACAAAACTGTTGCTAAGCAAAGATGGGAAATATGATCAAATTGTTTTTTTTAAACCAGTATGAATATTACTCGTATAAAATTTGGCTTCATATAATATATACCAATTGTGCATCATTTATCTGATCCAACTCCAAACGACAGCACATCAGAGAGAGTTACCTTTAGAGAGAGTTAATCCTGTTAAAACAATACTCACAACTTGGATTCATTTTTATGAAAAACCCTTTTGATTCTTTTGATCTGAGGACCTTTTATGGACTAAAGGAGTATGGACAGTCAACCCACTCTCATACATCTGAAGAACTTCTATAAAAAAAAAAGAAATGCTCTGCAACCAGGCCAGGCGTCTCAGGCCTTCATTCGTCAAAATGTGTAGCCACACCAGGCTAGTAAAGGAGACTGAGCATTTAATTGGTTCTAGGCTTTCAGTTGAAGTTTTATGGTAGTAACCATTTCATTGCAGTGGGACTTTTTTTTCTACTTTAGGTTTTATTATGCACCTAACCAAAACACAATGATGCTGAGCTGCATCTCAAATTAATTCTCAGGTTCCAAGCCTCCAGCTGATGCACAGCACTCCTTTGTGGTATATACCTTTGACCTGCTATCTCCCCATAAAGGTCCCCTGCCCCCCCCCCCCCCCCCCCCCCCCCCCCCNNNNCCCCCCCCCCCCCCCCCCCCCCCTAAAAAACGTCCAAAAAGATTGGGGTTGAGGAAACAATAGCGCGCAGCACTATGAGACTGGCACCAGAGAACATAATTTGTAGCTTCATCAAGCCCTTAATACACCATGCATTTTGCAGCCAAGCAATTACCTGTGCTTACTGTGAAAGATGCTGGTTGTTACAATGAATCTCAAGAGAATTACCGCTCAACTCTGCAGCTCCCTCAGCTCCATGGACCATTTTAGTGTCTTTCAGCTAACTGTTTTGTTTGTTACAGCCTGCAACTTTAGTGTTTTTAGTTAACTCTCACTGCTCTCATCAACCTGGTTTCTTCCCACAGCAGGCAGCTGTTTTCAGCAGCAGCTTGGATAAACCAACTGCATGTGTCCTACCCAGCACCAAACAGCAGACAGACAAAGTTAGCGAGTGTGTAGTGATTATGGAGCAGTTAGAAGCGA